CATCGTGAACACACAGGCCTTTAGATGTGATAAATCGTAGGTTAGGTTAGGTTTAATGCCAAGTCTATTAAATACATGCAATTAATTTTCATACATATTAACAGATCTTCTCACCTGTTAATCATCACAGCTGAGACATTCCATTATTTGTAATCTACAGCATCTATCAATTTCGACGCATGCGCAGAGAGAACGAGTATCGTTCGTATACCTTTCTCTCTCGCACATACTCCGGACACACCTGCGGCGCTACCATTCCTCCTCTATGTCTACATACTCAAAGGTAAAACGCCGGCGTGGCCGCTCGCGGGTTTCCTCTCTGCTAGCATATAAAGTCTATGGTTCGTCCGCTCTCGCGCGCCATGTCCGCCATGTCGATCGCTCGATATCTAAATCTACCACCGTCCGAGATCGAGAGACGAATCGGGAGAAATATCTGAAAATCGTAACAGCCACCATGATCAGCGTTTTGTCGCGCGGAAACGCGGCCGTTGGTGATTAATCGCGCGCGTAAAATCTGGAAGGGTATCGCGGAAGGTAGGTATCAGCGGGTAACGCGCAGCTGCGGTGAGGTCTTCCCGCGTAACTGTGTAATTTCAGTTCTCAAGTTTCGACGCGCAGAGCGGCGATCTTGCGCGATCGACTCGACGCGGTTGAATCCGGTTTTCACGGTTTACTGTAGGACACGATCTGCGTTTATTGTCAAACACACGCACGTCGTAAATGTATGTAAATATTTCCTATATACGTAGGCTTCGAATAGCCGACTAACTAATTATCCGAGCCTCACACTCGTCGTTTTCGTAAGTTCGTGCGTAGCTCTTAGGTTATTTGACAAGATTACGACCCGGGGCTCGATTTCTTGAATCCACTCGTAAGAGAAACGTACAGCGAAAATTCTGCTCTCGCAGAAAAGTTGCGAGTCGCCTGGCTATCCGCATGGTTTTTAACCAATCGACTCTCAACTTTACTGTGAGGGCACGATTCTCGAATACGTTTCTCTCTCGAGTGAATTCAAGAATCGAGAGCCTCCCCGGTCTACAATAGCTGCCCTCGGCATTGCAAATCCGAGGCGTCGGGGCGCTCTGCCGCTCTCTTCCCCCCCCCCCCCTTTCTATCTCGTTCTCCTTTCTCGCTCGCTCCGACGCCGCGGATTCGCAATGCCGGACGCGAGCTAATGAGGTGCCGGTCAGATGTCAATTATATGTAGATTCTATTCTTCCCGGGCGCAAGGAAGAGGATTAGCATAGAGTTTATAGACCGGGCCTAAGATTTCGTCGCAACGTTCGGTGCGCGGGTTTGATTTTCGCGGACGAACGTTACCGGCCGTGGGTAAACGCCGGGGAAGAGCCGTAGGGTGGCGACTCGCGGCCGCGGTGTTGCTCTCGCGAAAAAGTGTATCGCTTTCTCGGCCGTGGCGTCAATTACCTCCTCCCCCGGACCCGTCGGTTTCCTCCCCCGTGAGTTACCGCCATCTCGGGATGGCGCGGTGCCCGCGCGAACGACAGTTCAAATTTCGCGAGTCGCCGTTGGATCGCCGCGCGCGCGCGCGGCGGAGGGGCACGCGAAAGTCGTCGCCGAGGGAGAGAAACGATTGTCGCCGGAGCACAGCGCGTTTCCCGGGAACGAGCGGCGGGAATGCGTCGCGACAAACGCCACCGATTTGCACCTGCAGGTTAATTAACAGCACACGCAGCCTTTAGGCCCGGTCTACAATGAGTTGTTAGTCAGAAGTCGGAACTATATGTCGGTCCTTTTTCTTCCACCCAGAAAGGAAAAGGATCAACATATAGTTGCGACCTCTGACTAACGACTAACGACTCATTGTAGACCGGGCCTTGGGCTGACAACGAGTTCAATGTTGGGTCGCTGAATCCGTTTGCGTTAAATTTCATGTATTGGCGGATCGTACATTGTTCGTCGCTGCAATGAAATGGCCGGAAGGTAGAAGCTGTAGTTTAAGTAAATTGTACAAAGTATCGTGCAATCTACGCGAAAGAAGGAATTTTGTCGAGTAGAAATAATGTAACGTAACCATGGCAACTTCCCATACAGCGCCAAAGCTTTCGGGAACATTTTAGAAACATTGCGACGTTGCAATAATATTTTCTGTAAGTTGCCTGTGTCCACCATGTTGGAACTCGGTCCATTGTTCTAGTTCCAAGAAGTGCGTGGCTAATCAACTTGCAACTTTTGCGGAATAGCTGCACGTTAATTGGCTGCGCGTTTCTCGAAACTAGAACTTGGGGCCACGGTCTAGCATCGCGGGCCTTAGCAGTCGTCCAGTGTTCCGTTCAATTCGCAGTGCGCGAATCAAGCTGAAATAAGGAGACGTGTAATTATTACAAAAAGAAATGTATCAATCAAAGTGATTTGTGCAGGATTAAAATGAAATCTGCTTTCTTGCACGCAGGCCGTTTAATCGTCGATCCACGAGAGGCAAAAGTTGCACGCTCCACTCGGCCCGTCCGCGCAGTCACCCGCAGCGAGTAACAACAGCGAGCAACTGCGAGATAGTCGACGAGAGTCGTCCCGTACCACGGAAGCCGGAGGCGCGTCGAGAAAATTTGGGGCGAATCGAAGCGAGCGATTCCTGCGGGGGACAGTAACGACGGGGGCGCAGGATGGCCGATCGCAAGACGGCAGTTTCGTCAAAAGAAACGAGCGCTCCTCGAAATCATTTGAGGTAAAAAGTATGCGGCCTTCGTCTTATCTCAAGACGGTATTTGGATCGATTGAATGTTACACGATTTGTATTGAGATTATATAAATTGCGAGACACCCTGCGTGGCAGAGCGTTTAACGGGAGCGAGGATAACATTTTTGTCTCTCAAGTAAGATTATATAATTCGCACTGCGCGCGATTGCACACAAGAGAATGGGAAGGAAACTGGAGAACGCGTCGAAAGTGTCCTCGTTATCGTTTTTCGCTGTGTTAACTCCGTGGAACGGCGCATTTATATATCGTTGCGGGAGAATAACTTGGATCGATCGCGCCTGATTGTCATTCGCACCTGTGCCTAGTATCTGTATACGTAACTGCTCGCGTCGCGATCGCGGTGGGCGGCCAAGTGAGGTAGAATTGAGGATTGTGAGCACAGATATTTCTAGTACCACGACCGAGGATCGGACGAGGGTGATCGTGTCCGCCTGCGAGTCATCTTCCTCTTGCCACGAGTCTAGGACCGACGGCCAGGATGTCGCGCCCTCGCCGGGCCGTAGGTGCCTGTGCCCGTCGCGGCCGTTAACGGCGAACCGCTGCGCGCCCTTCCGCAGACGGGTCTCCTTCAGCGACGCCACCGTCATCGGGACCGACGGCGACGACGAGCTGACGAGCGCGTGTCGCGGCGGCGACCGAGAAATCGAGAACAAGGCGGAGCGCGAGACAGCGTTCTACGACATTTGGCAGGCGGACGACTCGTCAGCCGGCAGGAGCGACGACGGATACTCGGAAAGTACACCGGGGATTGACAATTACGCGGAGGACCGTTGCGGAGTATCGGGTTGCAGCTTCAGCAGCGGCGGCGATAACAAAGGCCGGAGGAGCTCGCAGTCGGAAAATATCGGCGAGCGGACAGTCGAGAACGATGGGCCCGCGCGGGGAGAGTGGCCCGGCGACGGTGACGTCGTCTGTCCGGCGGATCGCCTTGCCGGAAATAAGGCGAGAGACGACGAGGGCGATACCGCGTGGAACGAGGATCTATCAGACTCCGCTCGCAAGAACGTCGACCGCGACGAGTATCGCATGCGAGGAGGCTGCGGCGGATGCTGCTGCGGCGCACGCGAAAAGTGGGTGAAATATCATTGCGCTGCAGCGTCGAAATTGCGATGTTTGCTATCTCTCCGCGAGTTTCTTGCGGGACTAATAGCGCCGAGTCCAAAAGAGACGAATCGAGATAGCTCGAACTCGCCAAGTATTTACGTAGCATTTGAGAAAGAACCCGCAGCGCATGTAAGGGCCGCCACTTCCAATGTCTGTTAACTCTTAACCGGCCGTTAACTTTTCGGAATGGCCAATAAAAGTGGAAAGTTAACAGACGTTGGAAATTGTGGCCCTAAATGCCGTTTCTACCAATGCAGATTGACTCGGTTTAAATTACTTACCTGTTTCTAATTCGTACAGCTAGAAAAAGATTGTAAAGTAAGTCGAGTCGAGATTCAAGTTAAACTGCGTTGGTAGAAACTGGCATAAGTCTTTAGCGGAAGGCAAGATAAACGTCGCGTATCGAACATTATTACATAGATTTCTCTTGAGCAAACCGGGACTGACAATACATTTTCACGCGGTGCAGCGTCTGGAGGAGTTCGCGGGATCACGGTTGCTGTTGCGGAGGACTCGCGCTGAATGATTCATGCGCGCCCAGTCCGGACAAAGTCAGAATAGGATGCGTCGTGCCGTCGCGCTCCCGCTGTCGTTGTCCCCGAGTCTGCAAGAAGGCGGTCAGGTGTGAGCCGCCTCCATGCACGACGGACGTGCGAAGTTGCGGCGGTAGCGGGTGTTGCGGTGGCTACGGGACACCCGGCCAGATCTGCGCGCCGTCGCCGAGGATCTGCAACTCGCCGGCTCACTCCTCGCGCGGGAGATCGTGCTGCGCCTCGCGCTGTGCACCGCAGCCACCTTGCTCGATCGGCGGCTGCAGGGGCTGCTGCGGCGGATCCAACTGTGGAAGGTGCGAGCGAGAATCTTGGGCTTCTATACGGGGTGTCTCGTAACTTTCTTCTTTGGACCATAGTCTCCTTTCAGCTGCACTGGAATTGAATTTTCCTTCGACTTGTTTAGTACTTTTATGTCGTAACGTAAATCGTAATTTGCTGGATGATGGTAGAATTAGAAACAGGAATTGCGCTGCTCATGAGAATTTGTCATCGTGTTCTGATTGTGCTAAGAGTGATTTTGATTATGTCACAGATTGCCGCGCGAGCCGCCGAGCCATCTGGAAGACATGATTTACGGATGCTGCATCGTCGATGACGGAGCGAGATGCGGCGTCAATGAGGGCTGCTGCGCGCTGAAATTGCACCTCGGCCCACTCAAGTGCCTCGGTGGCGGCCGTGACTGTCGGCGATGCGGAAGAAAGGTCTACCAGGCTGAGATGCAGGTGAGTACGGTATTGTTACGGACATAGCGCTCCGAAAAGTCAAGTTGTATCGTTCGATAAAAAATTAGACTAACACGCGCGTACAGAGACTACGCGATATCGTCCCATCCAATGGATAGTAAAAGAAACAATTCTACTTGGTGATAAGTCACGACGTGTAATAGAAAACAGAAAAAGCTTTCGAGGGGAGTGTTCGAAATTTTCACTGTGCAATTTATTGCTTTCCAAGACCGCCTCCGGAGTGCCATACCATAACAGTTGCTTCAGTTGCTTTTGCTGCCGGAAGCCGCTGGAACCGCTGACTTACCAGGAGAACAGCGGCGAAATTTATTGCAAACGTTAGTATTGTCAAATTGTAGAAAAGTGCAGTTCTAAGAGCTTTACGAGGACTGTAGCCTAATATTACATTTGTCGTATGGCAAATTTTTTGAGCGTGTCGATTGACTGCACACTGAAAAAAAATCATTCAACCAGTCGTCTGTTAGAAAATGAACGAATCAGAATTCCTTTAGGGCTTACCAGATGTGTAGTGAAGTCTAGCAAACTTCTGGTTATGAAATATCGGGCCCTGTCGTGCTAACTAGAAATTCTGTTTGGTTTAGCCAAAATACATTCTATCGTCCATGTCTTGTTGATACAATCAAAGCATTTTTCTCAGTGCAGGATAGTGAAATTCTCGAGCGTCCAGAAATTTTCTACTCAGCAGCCAATCGACGCGCACGAAGAATTTGCCGTACGACAAATATAATATCAGGCTTGTTCGAGTTTCTTGCATCCTTTCCGCTTGACTCTCCTCAATTGGATAACATTATCACGGCCAGTTAAGGTTGCCCACGTTAATTGCGTTTCTTCCATGAATTGCACAGAATGTTACGTTCGCAATTTCGGGCCGCAGGGATACGGCTACGGCGTGCTGCAGACTCCCTTGTGAGCACGCGGCTATCGAATACCGGCCGTACACATGTGAAAGCATTCAAGTATAGTTATGACGTTTCTTCGCGTGTTTCCATTTCTTTACGACGGTCATAAAATGTTATAAAATGCGCGGGGGAGCTTAATGCGTATTAAGACGTTCTGTGTAGCTTTCGCGTGGCACTGTAACGCCAGCTGTATATTTCTCCGTACGCATGCGATGTTTTAGCCAACGTTTTTACCCGATAAACACTGTGAACGAGTACTCGGTTATTATTATTCTTGATATTCAACCCGTTTATTCGGCAATAAGTCGCGAGAGGAAAGTAAAACCTGTGCGCGCGGGAGGAACCGGGGAAGAGAAACAAGGAGTGAAGCCGGAGGAAGAGTGAAACGGCTGCTCTCTCTACGCCCCGGGAAGAAAAGAGGATAATGTGCCCCAGGTTTATTGAGCCTCTCCGCCAGGGCGAATTGCGCGGGATGACTCGTCAGGGACCGATTGCGGGGTAAACTGGATACATATAAAAATAAGGAAGGGGATTTAACGGGGAGAGGAGATTCGAGGCGGCGAAAGGAAAAAAAAAGAGAAATTCCGCGAGACGCGGAAGGAGGAAGGACCGAACGCGCGGCGCCGCGTTTTGGAAGAAAAAGGACGACGGGAGGCGGGCACGGAGGGTACGTTCGCGGGTTTGCAAAACAGAGGACGAGGCAGGAGAGTCGGGCGGGAGGAGGAAAGAGTGAGTGGTTGGTTTATTGAGTCTCTCTCCGGGCGCGCGGCGGATTTGCGCGCGCGGAGGAAGGCGCAGGCGGAGGGGCGTTTATATAGCTTTCAGGCGCAGAAGCTTAATCTAATTTCAAATATAAATCTGTTCTCTCTTCGCTCTCTCTCTCTTTCTCTCTCTCTCTCTCTCTCTCTCTCTCTCTCTCTCTCTCTCCCCCCCCCTCCTCTCTTTCTCTCTCTCTCTCTCGTCTCTGTCCCGCTCTCCTCTCCTCGCGCTCTTTTCCTTCCATCTGCCGCGCGCCACCGGCGCGCCCTTCCCGTCCGCATAGAACGCGCCGCGCTTACATTATACCCGCCCCGGCTACGAATAATGTTTTTCGCTTTTCCCATTAACATTACGGGACACGACGACTTACGCGGCGCGCCGTCCAACCGGCTACATTTTCGACATACGATTGCGGGAGCGATTACGCGTTTCGGGCCTTGGAGAGAAGTTGGGTGTTCGATCACGAGACACGGTAGTGTCTCGCGCCAAGTATAAGTCCCAGTCTACAATAGATGATTTAAGCCCTAAGCCTTAAGAAATTGACCATTTCACGGTCAGATATGAGTAGAATACGCGACTGTGATTAGTCAATTTCTTAAGGCTTAGGGTTTAAATCTCTATTGTAGACTGGGACTAAGTACCCCTTAAGAAATTGACCAATCACGGTCAAATATGGGTAGCATACGCGACTGTGATTAGTCAATTTCTTGAGGCTTAGGGCTTAAATCATTTATTGTAGATGGACACTAACAATAAGCGTAGCTAGAACCGCGCGCGCAAGACCGACCGTGTATAGTTTACGCCACAGACTTATATACTAGACTGCGCCGTCCGTAGGAGACGTCGGTCCTAAGATATAGAAAGAGAGGAAGAGCCGAACTTAATAGGCTTGTTTTCTGTTCGTGCACTGGTGAACTAGTGCAGTAAGCTAGAATGAGAAAAAATATGCTTGTCTTACTCTAATTTATTGTACTAGTTCACTAGTGCAGGAACAGAAAACAAGCCTAGTGTGTCTCTGTCTAACTTGTTCGTTTTCTCCCCACTCTTAATGTTGAGCGAGAGAGAGAGAAAGAGAGAGAGATCGTGACTCTTTTGATAAGTCCGTACCCTATGTTTAGGACAGCGCGTCCATAGGAATGGCGCAATGTAGTATATAAGTCTATGGTCTACGCGAGTACGCGAGTTGACGGGCCCTCAGATTTTCGGATCTCAACAACGGCTGATCCGATGAACTTCTAGGTGCGCTCAATCGATAGTTTGGGTTCGATTTGCAAAATAAATTGGTGTAACGCGACGCCCTTCCTTCTCGCGCGGCTCGCACGTCGGGCACGAGCGAACGTTACAATCTTCTTACCACCCCTTTTCCGCGGAGTCTACAGAACTGGGTTGAGCGTCAAATATCGCCTTCTATAAAATTTATGAGAAGCACGTTTGACAGCGTGACCCAAATTCGCCCGAATTTTCGCGTCGACTTTTTTTTTCTTTACAAGGCGAGCCACAAATTTATTTATAGACTCCGTTCCGGGATTGGATAAAGTCACGCGTGTTTTCAGGAAAAATTACTACAAGGATTTGATTGACTCTTCCGCGTGACTGGTTCAGTATTCGCGAAGACCCGTTTGCACCACGAGGATCCTTCCGTGCGATCTCGATCTCCCCGGTCGGTTTCTTCTCGCGGAGAGACGCGACACCGAATATTTGCACTACAGTCCGCAACAATTCCCGCTTTTTTTTTGCCGCGCGTCGTCCGGCAGCCCGCGCCAATTTACCAATGTAAACCGGCGTATTTAAATTGGCCGCGGGCCGTGGGCCGACGGGGCCGGGAGAATTTAAAAATGCCGGCCGCAATTTTTTTCCGCCGCCGCCGCCGCGCGGCGACGGCGCGGCCGCGAGATGCACCGGGCGGCCGCCCGGTGCATCGAAATCGGCAAAATATCTCTTTCCGTTTGACGGCCGCCCGATTCGGCCCGGGTCTTTTGTGCCGCCGCGTGGCGCGCTTATTTCGAGCCGGTATGAAAATCAATTATTTCGTTAATTCGTGCGTTACATTGGCTGTCACGGGGCCATCACTGTGAGCGACAGCGGCCCAAGGCGCTATTTTTCAATTCCCGATGTCGCCCCCGCCTTTCGCGAACCCGTATTTCCGTCCCGTTTTGTCGTTCCCGGCGGCCTTATCTTTATATATTTTCTCTCTCTCTCTCTCTCTCTCTCTCTCTCTCTCTCTCTCTCTCTCTCTCTCTCTCTCTCTCTCTCTTTCTTTCTCGATTTTGAGTCCGCGATTTGAACGTCGCCAAGTTCTCTAAATTTCGAATCGCTGTACTTTTTTGCTGTAATTCGCCGATACTTTTTAAATACCCGCGGTGACTCAGTCAGTTGAAATTCTATTTCATGGAATTAAAAAAATTATTCTCCCGTAAATCCCAACGCAGCTATGGGAACTTGAAAATTGAGTTACATGTGAATACATGCGTTTTAAAACTAGATAAATCGCTCGGTGCTAACCGTGATTTAATTAAATTTCTGCCTCATTAATTTCACCTGCATCATTAATAAGCTTTGCAATAATATCAATAAGCATCTACGCGAAGAAATAATCAATAAATCGCATTTCAATAATTCGATATTGACCTGTGTTGAAGCGATTGTCTATCGACGGCATTCTGCAGCTTGGAAAAAAAAACGTCGCGTAGCGCTTTCGCTATATAATCGACCGCGATATCTGTCAGGGTTTTTCACAAATGAGGGAGGAATTACATTTTTCAGCAGTTTTGCTCCTTTTATATAATAATAAAATTACGCGAGGCGATTCGAGAATTGGGATTTGCCTTGTGCTAACGCAACAAATAATTAAAATATATAAAGGCGGAACGTATTTTGCAAAAATTTCACGTCTTCGTATAATTCTGTGAAAAATCACGTTTCCCCAGAGCTAATTAATTTTTTTACATGAAAGTCATTTAATACGTTTCCGGCAATGTGCAATGCCGGGCTCCCGTTCCATATGTAAAAGTTTCCTTTAATTCGGTCGTTCCATATGCAAAAGTAACTTTAATTTATTGCAATGCGTCTGACTGCTCCTAATTAACGTACAGCGCGAATAAAACACGGTACAGTTGATGCGTGATATGAGTTCCAGGTCTCTACGTCGCGGGCGAGTGTATAATTAATTACCGGCATTTGGACATGCGCGTAACAGCAGTAAAATCGCGGCGGCAACGATTCCGCGTGTGTCGGCCCCGCTCTATGGCGCATCGGTGACAGTACAACGTCCGAGATTAATATCGTCGCGTTTGTCAAAGCACAAACGGCGTCTTTCGTCTCTCAGTGCGACGGAGGATCCCTTTTAGGGGAGGGCGCCGAACAAACGCCGGACCCCAAAACGGGCCCCCGGACCCTGTCACAACATACCTACCGGGTAAACGGGGCATTCTTCGAACGATGTGTTAAAAGCGGCGCGATTATTAATAGCGCGTTATGAATTAGCCATTTTCGCGTGGAGCGGCAGGTAGAGGCCGGTCGTGTATTCCCATGATACGTTTTCGATTGCCGGGGAAGTGGGCATGTTTCGGGCCTCATAAAATCGACGCCAATATATGCGCGCGGCTCGGAGGAAGAGAGGGGGAGAGGAAAGCGGATATAAATTTTCCGCCATCGTCCGTAATCGACGTCCGTACACGGGGGGGGGAAAAATGTTGTATCAACAAGATCGGTGTAATTGAAATAAAAGACAGTTGTCTTAATAATCTGAATATTTAATTTAATGCTTAAAATTAAAATCCATAGCAAATACAATCGAGCGAATTATTTATGCTTGTGACAGCCCGTGACGTTTAATTCAAGCAACTTCATTTTTTTTTCTAACTAGAAACGATAAAACGCGCGCTTCGCGCGCGCAGTTTGTGGTCAAGCATTGTATATTTTTAAGAATTTGTATACACGCGAAGAAGTAATTGTATGCGCAACGTCACTTTAAAACAAAAAGTAATATGTCACTCACTGATACGGTTCGCAACAGCAAAGTTGTACATCGCTAACTATACATGTTAAACTGTAACAATACAAAAATGTATACGATTATTATATAGACTAATTATGCAAAATCGAAACTATTGTATTAAATATACTTTATATTTAATATTTTTGAAAATGGGTATTTATTAAAATAATTATATATAGAATACTGAAAGTCTTCCTTTTAAATATGAACTTACAAAATTGTATACGTATGGATTTGTCTCTAACACTTATTCGAATGCTCGTTGGAATCATTTGAATAAATAAAATAAAAGCACAGAACAGATGCTTTATTTTGCATAATTAGCAAATAACAAAAATGTAAGATAAATGTGTGGAATTGTTGAGTCGCCAGCAATCGAAGAAAAATACTCAGAATTCAAACGACATATGCTGGCAAATAAAAATGTAAGACACCTTACGATTTCTCTGCCGTTGCCCGATGCCGTCTAGGCCTGCTCCTCTCAGATTTTCTTGTTGCACTTACATTCACAGTACTCGGACACTCCCGTACGCGATGTAAAATACCGTGAAATGCAGTAAGCGACGTTCTTTACTTCCTGCCCGTGCGAGTTGCGAAGAACGACAGAGCGAATTACAGCGCGAACGCCGAAGTCGCACAAATATCTCTCTCTTCCCGAAAATGGAACAGATTACACGAAATCGAGAGATAGTTAAAAGCGCGGTGCGTAAACGAGATGTAACCACGACAACGTACCACGGTTTACTTTCATATTTTAGATGAGTTAGTCTCGTAAAATATTCATGTACACGTTAATAAAGAGCCGTCGCCTCAACGCGCAATTCGTTTCTCATTACAAGTTGTAGAAACTTAATAATTAATCTAGTAGCGTTACTTGTCACGGATAAAGGAGTCCAAATCAATAGCATTTTATTCTTACATTCTTCACGATCGAGTCTTGGAAACCGACAACGCAAAAACAATACCACGCACGGAGCGACTCGCGCCACTGCTTGCCGGCTCGACGTTCGGCGAGTGACTGCGCGGCGACCTTCAAGTACAA